CTTACCCACGAAGGCTTCCACTTCAGTCAAAGGGGCATCAAAACGAAAGTAGCGGATAAGTCGTCCCATGAAAAGAGGCTGACATAGTTTGACTGACTCCTGAAATCAAGTGGTGTATAAGTGCGCTGGCTGAGAACACGACCTACACCGAAAAACTGGAGCAAGGAAACCCTATACCAAAGCAACAAACGTACTGTTCCAAGAAAAATTCTAGGATTCCAAACCCCACAAATCAAACCCATTGAAAGAAAAATTTGAAGACCACGTGCGCATTTGATTGAACTGTCAGATGGAATCACTCAATTCCTACACGTGCAGCACGTGAAAATCGCACTTTTAGTCATTCATGGAATGTATGACGTCTCAACTTTGCAGACGCCAGCAGAAAAGTACTATTTGGAGCAGTAGGAGGAGAGCTGTCAAGAGTAACGACTAGCTTTTTCTCGAGGACAAAATCATGTTGGTAGAAAACCATGATCAAAGCACGCACAGAAATATCAAGGTCAAGTACTAGATATTACCTCTATAAATAGCAATATTCCATACTGTGCGATCTCTTTCCAATACGTCCTTCGAATAGCAGTCATCAAGTTCGGCGGTCGATTGTCCTTCGTAGCCATTTCTTGTTCTAGTTCCCATGCTCTGAAGTAATCTTACATGGCGGAAACAAACATAGCTCAAAGAAAGATTGCTTTCGCGCATCATGACTTTGAATTTCATGGAAAATGGATGAGCTTGCAATCTCAGGGTAGTACTAGGAAACCTGGTTAATCGTTCCGTGGCCGCTGCGGATTCGTGTTCTGGTAAAGGCTCGAACATATCTTCAACTTCGAGAGTTTTTCGATATCCCTTGTAAAACAGGCCGGTCATGAATCTAAATGTCCTCCTTGCAGTATGAGTTCATCGCTGGACAAATTGCCAAGATAAAGACACCTACAGAAATGTAATCCTTGAGAAAATATTAGCAGTTGCTTCTGGATTAGACTTGAGTGAGTTATCAGCGCTCTTTTCAGGTTTATCCAAAAGCGGTTGAGCCGGCTCACAGCCGTTTTCAAGGTGAGCCTTACCCATGTTTCTAAAAATATTTAAAACTAATACAAGACAAAGGAAAGTAAAAGTTTTATTATAGAATAAAGCCTCAAAACAAGATTAAAGGTAAACAACACAGTCCAATGTACGTTTCGAGAACATGTCACGAAAGATAGGAAACCGAGCAGTTCAGTAGCAATGTTCCAAGCAGTTTCAAACATCGCCAACCACTAAACAGACATCTGGACGCTCTCTTACGCGATGTTGCAGACGCCAAATAAAAAAAATTCGCGCTTCGACAAACAACAGGGTCGGTCGCGGAATGTGGGGACCATCAGTCACACTTTTTGTTTACACGTACAACGCCAAAGATCCGAAACGACTCCCACAGTTCTGCAAACTCAGTCCATTAAATCTGATTTACTGACCATTCAAATTTTCAGCTGTAATAAAGCTATTAAATGGTTTTGCTCAGCGAGGGTCAAGTGACGTTGGATAGGATGGCTTGGGTAAGTCATAGTTGCCATAATTAGCACCACATCAGAATCCGACCTGGATCCGAGCGCGCGAGATTTGAATACCGGCGCATGGCACGCACACACTACCACAAACAGAAGCAATAGCAAAATTGGTGAATGCATGTCTCGAGTAGGTCCTTACAAAGTGTAAGCGCATAAATCAGATTGATCATCTGAGGTGTGTAATTGTCTGGCGCGCTCCCGACAACGCTTCACAAGGGAAGTTCGTTTGGCCGAAGTTCGAAAAGTGATGTATACCAGCGAATAGAGCTTGAAACGCTAATCCCAAATGTACCTTCTGTATCTGCGAGGCGTTCTTCCAGAAAAAAGTTATGAACTTTTCTTATGTCAAATTTTCGTGCATTCTAGTCTCCAGATCACATTGATTTCCACACAAAAATATGCCGGCTCAAGAAAACCACCTGATAAGCACTGCAGGGCTAATCTGATATAGTCTGGACGCATAAGAGTGTTGCTCACCATGTTGCTATCCACAGGTTTTCTTTTCTTTCTAGGGCACATTTTCATGATAGAATTAAGAAAGCCCATAACTTTCACAGAACAACGCTTCGCAGATATAGAAGGCATGTTTGAAATCAGCGTTTTGAGCTCTATCCGTAGTATACATCACCTTTCATATCGTCACTTCGACCAAGCGGACCCGCCTTGTCAGAGGTTCAGATCGAAAATGGTTTCATTGCCAACGACACTAGCGCATGGGCCATACACCATGAATTTCCGAAATTTGCGCCCTATGGCCATAGCGCGCCACTGTTGTTGGCAATGATAAACACTTGATAGGTGCCAGATCTGCCAAAATGTAATATAATACGAGAAGCTGCAACATA